ACCCGGCTCTCCCGTCGCGGGCGGGCCCCAGCGGCCACTTGCTCACCCGTTGACCAGGTCGCGGCACGCGCCCCCATGCGCGCACGGCTGGCTCTGGCACTCGTCGAGGTCCAGCTGGCAGCGGGCACCCCCGTAGCCCGGCGCGCACACGCAGCGGTAGGAGCCCACGCCGTCCAGGCACGAGCCCCCGTGCAGGCAGGGCGCTGAGGCGCACTCGTTCACCTCGACCTCACAGGTTACGCCTGAACAGGGCGGGAAACGTGGAGGCTGTGAGATGGACCCCCGCGGGAGGGCGAAGGAGGCCGTCCTGGGCAGACGGAACGCTCCAGAGGCACACGGGGCGAAGTGTGAGGCTCGTGCGTTCCTTCACTCTGAGCAGGAGTTTCCTGGGCAGTAATGGCAGGTGAGTAGACAAGACAGACATCCCGGCCCTCACGGAGTTCACGGCAGCCTAGGCCAGGACTCGTTGCATGAATAAGGACTGCTGTTTACTATTGCCAAGTTCAACAAGGAGCTTGAAAGCAAGAACCAGGGTCTGGTTTGGTCGGGAAAGGCCTCCTGGAAGAAGAGACTCTTGAGGGATTGGGACAAGCAGCTATAGGAGCAGCTGAATTCCAAAGAGACTGCAACAGCAGGCAAGTCCTGCTGGGGACAGGGTCATGATGCCCTAGGGTGGGTGTCTTGGAGGGTCTGAACAAAGGGGAGGGTGGAGGGGGTGAGGCAGGGGTGGGAGGTGTCAGGGCCATGGGAACTAGACAACAGCATCCTGAGGGCTTCAGGCAGGTAGTGATGTGGTCCTACCTACGTCTTAGAAGGCCACGCTGGTGGCTTTGAGGAGAGTGGAGGAACACACCCCAGGGAGGCAGGAGATGCTGGACAGGGCAGTCACTCCTCCTCGTTTCCCTGCACTGTCTTGGTTGAAAACGGGAAGTCCTAAGTCCCGGAACCCTCACAGTCCTGGGCAAACCAAGGCGGTTGGGTGGCGAGGGCAGAGATGAAGGGAGAGGGAGAGTCGCAGGGTGTGGAGATCCCTGCTTGAGGTCATCCTGGAGCTCCCACTGTCGATGCCTGTGGGCCCTGCCCTGCCCCTTCAGCGGGTTTGGTCAAGGAAAGCCACAGGCCCAGCTGACTGCAGCTGGAACCCTCCCCCTTCCCAGCTCAGTGAGCACAAAACAGTCCTTCCCGTGACCCCGTCCCTCCTGCGCCCCAGCCCCACTCCCACCCTCCGTGCCAGGGGGAGCCAGGCCTAGGCTGCAGGGAATCCCAGCCTCCCCCACCCGGCTTGGAGCAGGAGGTGGAGAGAAACCGTCACAGCAGACACCTCCCCCGCTCACATCCACAGCTCAACCAGAAAGAGAGAGAGTTACCCACCGGCGCGCACACACACATTGCTCACAGGCACATTCATAGAGCCCAGACACCTGCAGACGCTGGCAGACACTCAGGGGCCTGTTATGGATGCAAAACAGAGCTTCAAACTGGGAGACACACAGACAGATGTGACCCACACTCACGCACACGCAACTAGCACATCCAGGTAGGAGACACTCAGACAATGAAAGATGCGTGGGCCCAATTTCCAAAATCCATTTCCATCAGCATGCCACTTCTCCGTGGTATGTCCTCCCCCAGGAGCTCAGCCCCCCGATCTGTGCCCTTTGCTCCGAGGTGGCTTCAAACTACCCTCTGCCTCGGAGTAGAGTTGTCTGAATTTAGGATTGAAGTAGAATCCAGAATGTCCAGACTGCCCCAGACATAGCTTCACATCCTGGGCTGTCCCCAGCTGCACCCTCCTTCCAGACTTCAGCCACCCATGCCCCTCCCCGCACCCCTGCACCTGGAGCTCAGAAGGGTGCTCCTCCCCCGCCCAGGCTACTCTAGGAAGCAGCTCCAGCATGCTGCTGCCCCAGAGCATGGCAGGACTGGGGTGGACCATACCCTGGAGGAGGGAACTAATGTCAACGCTCAACTCGGTGCCATCACTTTTCTAAGCACTTGTATCAGCATTCCACTCCAGACAGCAGGGGTCCTTGGGGATCCATCCATATTATGATTGAACAAGACCATGAGAGCTCTGGAGGATACCCAGAGGGAGGGAGGGGTCCACATTACACCAGAGCCGTCAGATGAGCCAGATAGCATCTACGTGAAAACTTGACATGGGGCTGGAGCGAGACCACACTAGAGAGACTGGGGTATCCTCACTGAAGCCACACCAGGCATGTCTGCACTGCCAGAGATGCCTGAGGGTGTCTCCACCCCAGCGCCAAGCTGAACTCTGTAGACAGAACTGAAACAATGTCCATCAAGTGCCTGAGCTGTGCCAGGCACTGTGCCAGTGCCTTCATAGACTCATCCAGAGCTGCCAGGCCAGCCAGGAACTGTCAGTTCTGTAGGGAGACCAAGAGTGGGTGCACCCCAGAGCTGCCAGGATGCCTGGGGACATCTCCATACAAAGTCAGAGCTGAGTCTGTGGTGTTTACACTCAGCCGCTACAGGACTGGCATTTTCAACCTCCTCCCAAGCGGCACCAGCCATTACCTGTGTAGCCAAGGGGGCAGTGGCACTCGTAGCGATCGGCCAGGTTGCGGCAGGTGGCCCCATGGTAGCAGGGCCGGGATGCACACTCGTCGATGTCCAGCTCACAGTGTGGGCCCTGGAAACCGGGTACGCAGTAGCAGCGGAAGCCGTCAGGATCTGGGCCCTGGGGCACACATAGAGCACCATGGTGGCATGGCTGGGTGGCACAGCCCCGGGGCTCCATGGGCTCACAGGTGTAGCCACCACTCTCCATAGTCTGGCACTCGGTCCCTGGAGCGCACGGGTCTGAGGCACAGGCACTCAGAGGCTCTGAAGGCACCGTCCCTGCAGAAAGAAGAAACTGGCTGGCCAGGATGGGCAGGGGCTGCAAAGACAACCTTCTCCCCGCACACCCAGGCTCAGCCCCAGGGCAAAAAGCGGGAAATCAGTGTGGTTCTGTCCATGCCCAGGAAGATGGGCCAAGGGCTGCACATCTACACCTAGTACTGGGAATGGTTCAGAAACATCTTTATAGCAGAGAAATAGGACCAGGGATGCCTGGCTCCTAGGCAGACACTCGCCAGTCCTGTGAGTGTCCCCTTCACTGTCTCATCACCTCCCTGCAGTGTTTCTCTGAGGCAAGGACCATCTTGTTCATTGCACAGGAGAGCAAACAGAGACTCAATAAAGAAAATGAAGGCCAGGTGTGGTGGCTCATGCCTGTAATCCCAGCCCTTTGGGAGGCCAAGGAGAGAGGATCACTTGAGCCCAGGAGTTCAGCCTGTGCAACATAGCAAGACCTAGTTGCTACAAAAAAAAATTCCAAAAAATTATCTGGACATGGTGGTGCACACCTGTAGTCCCAGTTACTCAGGAGGCTGAGGTGAGAGGATTACTTGAGCCCAGGAATTCAAGGCTGCAGTGAGCTATGATCGTGCCACTACACTCCAGTCCGGGCAACAGAGTGAGACTCCAACTCAAAAAATAAAAAGAAAATTTAAAAAAGGAAGTAAAGCCTGCTGAGATCATACAGTGAGTTAGGGAGTTAGCACTGGCTAGCTGGCTGGGAGCAGCTTCCCGGTGGTTTCAGCTCCATCTAGGGAAGGCGACCCTCTGGGTTTTCCCTTCTGCAGGCTCCATCCCTCCCAGGGAAAAGGGTGAGGGAGTCAGGCTGGACAGGAAGGCTCCTCCCATTGCCCCTCCACCTCTCCTGCTGGGGGTCTGGCAACCCCATCCCTGTGTGAAACTGGAGATGAGATGACCTCAACCTCTGAGGACAGAGGACTTCGTGCTCAGCCCCTCTCATTCCCACCCCTCCTCTGCATCCTCTTACCCCCTGGCCTGGGGACCTTTAGAGGATCCCTGGCCCTCATATTATCCCCATCCACAAATGCTTGAGTGGCTGGCCTGGCTGAGGCCACACGTACAGTGCAGGTATTGAGACCTGCTCCCCAGACTCCTGACTCTGCCACTATGAAGCCACCACCACTCAGAGCCACCTCCATTAGAGGGAGACCAGTCAAGCCCAGAGATTCCCCCTCCCTTTGTCCTCCTCACCTCCCTTCCTGAGAGACTTGTCACTTTAATGCCCAATTAACAAGTTGACTTTAGCTGGCATTGGTGGCTCAGCCTGTAATCCTGTGCTTTGAGAAGCTGAGGTGAGTGGATTGCCTGAGCCCGCGGGTTCGAGACCCGCCTGGGCAACTTAGCGAGACCTCAACTCTACAATAAATCAAAAAATCAGCTGGGCATGGTAGCACATGCCTGTAATTCCGGCTACTTGGAAGGCTGGGGCAGAAGGATCGCCAGAGCCCATCAGGTCAAGGCTGCAGCGGCTGGGAGCGACCACTGCACTCCAATCTGGGCAACAGAGTGAGACTCTAACTCAAAAAAAAAAAAAAAAAAGAAGTCGGCTTTGATGTAAAAACACCTCTGGTTTCAGATTCTAGCTCAGAAGGTTACTAGCTGAGACCCTGGGCAAGTCATTTCTCCTATGGAGCCTGAAAAGTCTAAAAAGTTTTATGATACTAGACATCTTCATAGACTGTGGAAGGAGTCAGAGCCTCAGGTGCCATGGCCAAGTGCCCATTCCAGCCAGGAGCTCAGGGGATGGTGGGGAAGGTGAGCCTCCTTGGCAGGCACATGCTCCTCCCTGAGGCCTCATTCCCCCCCACCCCTCACCCCTGCCAGCACCTGGAGCTCAGAGAGGTGCTCCTCCCCCTCCCAGGTTGTCATTCAGATACTAACCAGGCCCAGAACAAATCAGACCCTCCACCCTCCCCTCCCCTACTCTGGTGAAGACCCCCAGATAAGGCTGTCAGCCTCTCAGGCGTCATCCGCATTCCACCAGGCAGGGCCGTCCACTGGCCTGACTCCCACCCTTTAAGCTCCCTCAGAAAGGGGCAGAGGTTTCGGGTATCCGGCAGACCTGGGTTGTATCTGGGGTGCAAACAGGCCTCCTTGTGGGGGTGTTGTGAGGAACCCCAAGGTGATGTGTGTGCAGCCCTGGCACCCAATGTGCCCTCACCCCCATGCGGGGCTGTGTGCCCTGCACAGCCAGGAGGGGCACAGCAATCATAACCCCCACTGTGAAGTGCCCTGGCTGCTGGGCCCAGAGCTTGTTCATCCCAGCAGAGCACTGCCCTCCTCTGTGTGGCGCAAGGGACCCCCATACAATCTGGAGCATAGCCGCCACTTCACACCCCCCCAGCTGGGGAGGTAAGGATCCTGGGGGCAGGGAAGGGCCTCTCACAGTCTGCTCACCCTTAGGGGTCCTCCCAGAACCCTGGGCGCAGATGGCTTGTTACTCCAAATGACACAGGCCAGTGCCCCCATGGGAGGAAAGTTTCTCCAGTCAGCACCAGGGAGGGAGTTGCCCGACCCAAGAGGCATGCAATGGCGCCAAGGGCCTGCCTGTGAGGCACAACCATCTTTCTTGTGTCATCTCAGTTAAGCTTTGTGTTTTCCTTCTGAGGTGGGCAGTACTATTATTCCTTCTCTGCAGCTCAGAAATGCAGCAACCTCACGGTCCCACAGCCCACGGAAGACTGGACTCCAAGCCCAGTGCTGGGTGCTCCAGACCCTCCAATCCAGGGTTTCCAGAATCCCCGGGGCCTGTACTAAGAATACAGATTCCTGGAGTCCACTCCAGACCTAGAATTCAGAATCACTGGGCCACTGCCTGGGCCTGAGAATCTGCATGTGACCCGCTCCCTGGGATTTCTACACACTTTTAGGCGTGGGGACCGCTGACCTCAGGTTGCCTCTGTCTTCCAGGAGTAAGCCCAGGAGGCCAGACTAGCCCAAAGCAGAAAGGAGGATTGGCAAGGAGGTGCTGGAGGGCAGCGGGGCGGAGGAGGGGCTGTGCCCCGGCCAGGCTGGGGGGGCGGAGCCTGTTGCCAGGGCAACGAGGGGCCTGTGCTTATCTTTACAAATCCCTCCTGACCTCAGGCTGACGGGCGACCTGGCAGGGGAGGGATTAATAAACACCCGCCCATCCCCTTGGACCTGCCACCCTGGCCTTGGGAGGGCAGCCGTTTACTGAGTAGGTACTATGTGCTCGGGGCTCTGCATCTATTCTTAGGTTGTTAGATTTGATTCCAACCCGAAAAGGTGAATGTCTTTAAGAAAGTTTGTTTTTCAAACTCAGAGAGGTCGATGAGCTGGCCTGGGTTGAAACCAAGACTCATAACGCCTCCTGATTTCTGAGAGGGCCACATCTCCCAAGTTCCACATCTCCCAGGGCATGTAAAATCTCCACTTTGCAAACTCTAAATCGCCACCCAGGTATTGGCATTTAGCACATCCAGCTGCCTCACCTGGGCACCAGAAAAAGTCTACAAGTTTTCACAAGCGTACACGTTCCAGCATCAACCTGGGCTGAGCCGGCATACTTCCCCGGAACCCAGCGAGAGCAATTTCTTAGCACCTCAGGCCTCACTTGGTGCCCAGTGATAGCAGCTCTGCTTACAACTAGCAACAGCTGATGATAAATGTTTTGCAGGAAGCTTCCTGTCTTGACAAGGCAAGAGAAATAATATTTCTAAGAAAAGACGTAAGATCTCATAAGGTGTGGGAGCTTCTGGAATAGGACGATACAACACAATAGAGGTTTACAACCATGACTTGGGGTCACCAGGAAAGGGTGAAAATCTTTTTGGTAGGGAAGGAATATTCTTTTTCAAAAATGTTTACACCCTGAGATGAAAAGGCATAACTTTGATAAGGGTAATCACAATAGCTGTTGAGGACTGAGCGCCCATCCTGTGCCTGGTGTTGGCAATCCCCATGTTACGATACCGTGATCTCAGAGCTCTGGGCCTGGGAGGTCCCTCTTTGAGTGACGGGGAGACATAGCAGGTTGGATTCCAGACCTGCCACTGGAGAAGGCCACTTTCAATAATTTTACTATTAACTATGAATGGGCTTTCGTCTAAATGTCCTTCGAAATTAGGGGTTCTGTGCCAAAACCCAAGGTGGGTTTCGTTAGGTTCTTGATCAGCCTTCAGGGTGAGCTGGTCTGTCCCTGTTTTGCAGAGGCACAGAGAAGAGCTGTGACTTTACACAAGCTAGGGCCACAGTCTACTGTGGAATCCCAGCCCTGCTGAGCACTACTCTGTGACCCTGGGCAGGTGGCTGACCTTCTCTGGGCCTCATTGTAAACTGGGGTTATCAAAGCCAGCCTCACAGGCTGCTGGGAGAATTAAATTCAGTCCTGTTAGTCCAGGAGCACAGTGCATGCCACGGAGCGGAGTGGTTGATCTCTCCACTAAACAAATCTATACTCAAGGCAGACATCCACCATCTGAAAGACCCTGATGCTGGGCCGAATGAGAGCAGCTTCTCACTCCAGCCTTGCCTCTGTCCCACAGGCCCCACCCACTCTGGTTGGAGGAGGGGCTAGACTTGGGGATTGGACTCACTGCCCCTTTGTCTACTGGGCTCCCTGGGTGTCCAGGGAAGGGGGTGGATATGAGCCCAACACGCCCCATTGTACTCCAAGATGCTTGGTCTTCTCCATGGCAACCAGCCGGGCCTTTGTGGCAAGTTGGGCCTGGGATGGAGGGGCCTAGTCAGGGCCTGGCAGGGGTGGGCAGCAGCATCAGGGGCCCAGGGCCTCCCAAAGCCCCCAGCCCCTCGGGAATGGAAATTGGTTTTCAAGAGACACAGCCCCGCCCCCTCCTCTCCTGGCCTGCAGGCCTTGGGTACTGGGGTCCAGAGATGATCATGCTTGCCAGTCATGCCTCTCTGGGATCCCGAGGAATGGGGCTTCCCGCACATAAATGGCAGGGGAGGGACCCCTGTGCACCCCAGCAGGGCTGTGTGGGGTGAGTGTATACACCAGTGCATATGCCTACTTTGTGCCTCAAGGTTCACATAATGCACATTTGAGGGGGGACACACACGTGTCACATATGTATTGGTATATGCACACTGGTGTGTGCAGACCCATGCCGTGTATGTGTAGATGTGTGTACATGCAGGTGCTGGTGGGCCTACCTGTGGTGTGGACACCTGTGCATGTGGTGGGGTGTGCTCTTGTGCATGCCACACAGGTGTGGTGGGGTGTGAGTGTGCATGTGTGTGTGCATCAAGGGGCAGGATCAGAGCCCACAGCCACAGACCAGGACCTTACGCCCTCCATGTGCAAAGGGCAGAACTGCCCCAGCTCCTCTCCTGAGCCCCAGTCACCCGAGGCCCAGCTCATAAGCTCCCATCCCTCTCTGGGCCTTGGTCCCTTACTACAAAATGGGTCCTCATCCTCCTCCCTAGCACCTGCAGAGAGGACTAGGAAGTGAAGGCTTTGTGAGGCCAGGAGCCTGCAGAAGTCCCAGGAACCCAAAGGGGGCTTGGCGGCTTCACTCAGCCCTGCAGTCTTGGGGCTGCAGGAAGCCCAGGCCCTCTTGGCTCCTCCTCCCGCCTGTGGGGGCGGGGGCAAGGGACTTCCCAGGCCTGGCCCGTAGCTATAGTGACCAAGACCAAGCGTCCCCCTAGACCCCCCAGGAGGAATTCCAGGCTCCAAGCTCGTGTGAATCTATCTGCTTGAACAAAAGCAAAAACGGCCTGACAAACGGCGGTCTGGCTTCAAGGAGACCTTTCGACTTGGTCTGGGAATGCCGGGAAGGGGGCAGCAGGGGACACACATGTGTTTCTACATCCCCAGTCACCCCCAGAAACCCAGAGCATCCCAGCACCCCAATGCAGGCAGGGTTTCCACACAGGTGCAGGGGTGCAGGAGGCACCCAGTCCCCTTCCCTAACCTCATCTTCCTCTCAGCTGGGGTCTGCCCCACCTCATGCCACTCACGTCCAGAGCAAAGACCCAGACAACTTAGGCCCCACAGTGCGTGCCGGGACACAGCTCATCACATGCAAACACAGACACAACTCATGGCTTGCCTCGGACAGAAGCCTCACTGCACAACTCTAATGCACTCACCACCTGCACCCTACAAACCAGCATGCAACTCAGAACAGACTGTGGTGAGGCTCATGCCTCCTGCGACTTCCCAAACTCGGCCTCTCACAACCCAGAACTCCCAGCCCCAACCACCCCCTTCTGGGATACAACACAGCACTGCCCAACACGCACACCCCCCACCCAAATCAACTCCCTCCAATCAAGCCCAGCCCGATCCCCACACTCTCCACCCACAGGGTCCCCCTCAACCCCCAGCCCAGAGCACACGCACCTCCCCAGAGTCCCACAGAGTCCCAGTGGCCACAGGCACGCACTACTCTGCACCCCATAGCTTGGGCCTGCACCCACGCAGACCAGCCGTCCTCAGACCCAGCAGCCGAGGCTTGGGGTGTCTGCCTTAGGGGACAGACCTTCCCCAGGGCCCCCAAGGCCCGGGTCCCAACTCACCAGCCAGGAGGGCTCGGGCAGGGGCCCAGAGCAGCAGCAGCAGCAGCAGCAGGACAGGGGCCGGGGGCCTGGGGTCCCG